CTCCTCACAGTGTCCGGACCCACGAGCTGGCAGCTGGGTCCTGGCCGTCTGACTCTCTGGGGCCACAGACTGTGGCTGCTGGTGGCCTAGAGGCCCAGAGGACACCCAACACAAGGGGCTGCCAGGCTGCAGGGCAGGACCTCACTGTGGTGTACCCCACGTGTCCCAGCATGCACTGCTGCACTTGGTGGCTGGTGGCATTCTAGCCACAGGGCCGCACAAACCTGGTCCAGCTCTGGAGGGCTCCCACCACCCAGGGGGACCCCCGGTGCCTTCAGCCACGCTCCTCCCTCCCCCCGGCCCCCGCTTGCTTTCATTTTTAAACTGTGGTTAAGACAGACACGACCTAAGATTCCCCATCCGGACCATGGTTAGGCACGTGGTCCAGGGCGCTGGGCACGATCACCCTGCTGGTTAGGCACGTGGTCCAGGGTGCTGGGCACGATCACCCACCCCCAGAACATCCTCATCTTCCCAAACTGGCCTTGTTCCGTCAAACGCCGACTCCTGCTCTCTGCCCTCTCCCTCCCTCCTACCTGGTGACGTGGGGCCTCAGGCTAGAGACACACACTGCTTGTCCTCGGTGCCTGGCCTGCCTGCCTGAGCTGTGTCCCCCAGGTGAATGCCTGTCATGGCCTGCATCTGCATGTCTCTCCGCTGAGGGGGTGGACGGCCTTCCGCTCACTCGGGGCTGATGTGGCCACGGCCACGCCGCGTCTCCTCAGCCCTGCTTCCTGTCTTCAGGTGCAGACCTGGCTGGAACTGCCCAGCTGACATGATGATGTGGGTTTTTTCCCGGAATTGTGGCCTTTAAGGAAAAAAGAGAGAGAACTTTCTAGAGCAGTTCTGGTTCTCAGCAGAAGCGAGTGGACGGAAAGTCCACGTCCCCACTTGGTAGCCTGATGGCGCAGGCTTCTGTGGCCTGTTCTGGGGTGGCCGCCCTAGCTGCAGGGGCTGCGTCTCAGGGTGCTTCTGCCTGCCTTTCCAGGGCTGGCGACGCTGACACCCTTGCACGAGTTTAAGGCCAGTCGTGGATCTTTGCACAGACGCCCACCCAGGTCCTAACGACCTTAACCGAGTCACTAGCTTTGTCTTCTCATTGAGTCGTGTGACCACTGCCAGGTGCAAGGAGCGGCAAGAGGCCCGTGGGTCTGGGTTTCCGCTTGGGGTGGGCCAGGGGCTGCGTCCGGCAGACGGGCTCTGCAGGGGCTCGTTGGGAAGTGCACCTGGAACCAACTGCCTTTAAGTCAGGTCAGAAAAGCCCACAGCTGGCCGCGGAGGGCCAGTGCGGAGAAATGCCCGGCCTCCCCTTGTGCCCATGCTCCCAGGGCACCTGGAGGGGCTCTGCTGGCGCTTGATGCCTGGCCGCCTCCTCCCCGGCCTGGGAGGAAGGAGGCGCTTCGGTCATGGGGCCTTGAGGCCTGTGCCTCCTCAGGGCCCTTGCCCCTCACTCCAGCCTGGCCTGGACTCTTGTGTCATCCAGTACCCAGCTGTCCAGTGGTGGCTGCCATGTCTCTGGGTCACCACTCCCTCCCAGGCTACCTCCTGTCATGTCTGGGATTCTATCGCTGCAGCCCACAAGCCACTGGCCTGTACCCCTCTCCCCACCACGGGGCTGCTCCCAGACCCCTGCACTCCCAGGTATGTCCCTGTGAGGTGGGGCCTGGCCTTGCTGCCCCAGGCCCACTTCCAAACCTGAGAATGACCATGCCCCATCCCGCCTGGCAGACCCTCCTTGGGCCCTAGTCCTCCCCTCTGCCAGGCTACAGCAGGTGACCCCACAGCCCCCAGAGGGGCTTTGCTCCCTGAAAATCAGGCAGCAGAGGCCCTGCTGTGGGGGGCTTGGTGGAAGCTGAGGATCTGAAATTGGTGTGGAGACATGTCCCCAGACCTTCCTCCAGGAAGCCACCTGAGCCAGGAGGCAGCCTTGCTTTGGTCTGAAGGACAGTGGCCAGGATGTGAGCGGCCCCTGCATTCCTCTATTCTGACTGGTCTCAGCAGAGACCCTGGCTCCTGGCCCAGGACGCCTCCTCACATCAGTGGACAGCACTCAGGGTGGTGCTCCTCACCCTGGGCCAAGATCCTGACCCTGGTCTTGCAGGTGCCTCATGGTTCTCCCTGAGAGGCCCTTTGGGAGGCAGAGATGCTGGGCACCTTCAGGGGAGCCCCTAGGGCTGGTGGTTGTCAGTGGGTGGTTCTGTAGGTATGGTGGTGGGCCTACCTGAGCTGTGGGGGAGCCAGCTGGCCTGGACAGTCGGCAGACCTGGAGGGTAGCAGGCAGGCACAGCGAGGCGGGGAGGGCATCCCACATATGCAGCTCCGAGGACCCAGGGCCCCTGGGTGCCTGGGGCCAGCAGGGAGGCTCTTGGCAGGCACTAGGCCAAGATACCCACGTGGCAGCCCGTAGACCTTGACCCTACAGTGGACAGCGGGGGACACAGGAGAGGGACCGACGGCAGGTTCCTGGGACACACCTGGGCCTTTAGTTCCACTTCATGGCTGGTTGTACGGCCTGAGCTGCAGGAGAGAGCCTCAGGCCCACCCCCAGCAGAGCAGAGCGCGCCAGGCTGGGAGCATGGCCTGCCGCCTGCGGAGGTGTGGCAGAGGTTGGCTCCCAGTGCCCTGCACCGTTCTCCAAGCCAGCGGGCATTGGGGTCCGAGTCGTTCCCCATCACTCTGCCCCTGACCCCTCCAGCGGGGTGGCTGCTCTCCCTGAGCCATCCAAATGCCACCACTTCCAGGTGTACCCAAGCACATCAGTGCTTCAACTCTGCTTAGGATGCTGGGGAAGGCTTTTAAATAATCGAAAAGTACTTCAACATGAGGGAAACTTGCTGTGTGGTCAGTCAGCGGGCACAGTCTGCTGCCCCTGGGGTGCTATTGCTTCCCACCAGGGCCACCAGTGGTCAGGGGAGCCATCTCCCATGAAGCCACAGGCACCCCCACATCGGCGCCAGGCACCAGGAGCTTGGTGTTTGATGTTAGCCAAAGACACACCGTGCCACAACAGTGTCCCTGAGCGCCAGCTCCTCAGAGACCCCAGCCACGCCAGTGCCTGCTTCTGGTCTCTCAGCCCCTTCCTCCCTCCATTCAGCCGGCAGATGCACCCTGAGTGCCAACCAGGGCAGGCTCGGCTCTGGGAAGGGGGACGCATCCGCCCAGGTGGGCTCAGCCACTCCCCAACGCCACCCCGCCAAGTTCCCAGGAGCTGAGGGCAGAGCTGGGACCAGAACCCTCGGGGAAGCCACCGAGCCTGTGGTGCCAGCACCCCTGGCTCTCCCTTGGGCCACCCCAGATTCTGGGTCACATTCCCCACGCTTTTTTGCATGAGAAAGGCATTAAACTTCTCCAAACTGTCTCCCGTTGTCCACTGAGCTGGCCCTGAACACAGGCTGGATGGCGTGAACATTATTCTGTCCTAATTAACAACATTTGGGAGCCAGAGATGGCAGCATCCGGCCACCCTCTCAGTGATTCCCTGGCAGGCCAGTGGTGTGGGGCAGCGCCAGCCAGTCTCACCCAGTCGCGCAGCAGCCTTCCCATGCTGGACTCCCAAGGGAGGGCGGGCAGGGCTCCAGCTGGAGCAGGCCTGCAGGCCGCACGCGCTGTGGCTTCGCGGGTTTGTGCCGTCCCCTGCTCCACAGGGGGGACTGGTTCAGCCTCCAGCCTGGGCTCCCCGCGGGGCCTCCTGCATGCCCGAGTTGGCTGGGAGCTGGATCGTGGGCTGCAGGTCATGCCAAGTGCACACTGGCATTAGTCCTCACCTCGCCCACCACGGTACAGATGGGGACAGTGAGGCCCAGGGCAGGATTCGGCCCCGAGGCTATCTTCCTACCCCATTGGAAACCTCTGCCTTGTGGGGTTGGTAGGAAAGAGAGGGCGGCACAGCAGCCATCAGGGACCYGGGAAAGTGGGCGGCCCAGGGCTGCCTGCCTGGTCCTGGGGGAAGGGCTGTCCTCAGCAGCCTGGGGGAGCACAAGGGAAGAGGCTGCTCACTTCAGACACCTGGTTCCTGGGACAGTGGCCACGTGCTGGGAACCTGGCTGGCTGCTCTCAGGCTACAAGCGGGCCACCCCTTGGCAAGGCAGCCACAGCTCTGCCCTCCAGACACCGTGCGTGGGACAGGTCCCCGGGGCCACACCTGGAGGCAAGATGCTGACCCCTCCCGGAGTGCTGGACCACAGGGAGCCAGGGCTGAGGCCCGGCCCCACACTGGGCCTTCCCTACCATTTCAGGGGCTGTGAGAAGGAGCAGTAGTGGTATGGGCTCGGTGACAGCTGGGGTAGGCCTCAATGTCACCTCTGGGGTCCCATCTGGGACGGGAACCCTCTGCCTCACTGTTTTGTTGAGAAGGCTAATGGCCACTTCTTCTGGACTTGGTCCCACACCATTCTTCCTCATTTGTCCACTGTCTGTCCCCTCATCCAACCCTGTCCCTCTCTACTACAAATTTCTGTCCATCTGTCCAGTCCCGTGACCCAGAGGCCAGCCCACTCCCCAGAGCACCTGACTCCAGAGCTTGTGGGGGCCTCTGCACCCTCCTCGTGCCCCCAGCCCCCCCCGGGCCCTCGCACACAGGCCCAGTCCAGGCCACCAGAGGCAGCTGCCATGCCCCAGTGGTGTGGCCGTGCGTGAGACGAGGGGACAGTCCCAGAGGGCAGATGTGCTCCACCCCACCTTGAGAGGCAGGGCCTGGGTTCTGGGGCATCACTTGGGGCTTAAATTAGTCCTGGCCACTGTGCGGTCAGGCAAGGGCACCTGACACACGGCTGCCCGGCCCTGGCTCAGCAGGACCCTGGTCTGAAGAGCAGCGACTCCACTGGGGCCCACTGTTGGTGGCCCTGGGTTTAGGCCACTGGCTTCTCCAGGTGGGTGTCACATGTAGGCACCATCTTTCCCCCGACAGGGAGGAGGCCTGCTGCTAGGGGTGGCCTTTGGGAAAGGACACTGGCGCGGGAGCCCGTCCGTGCCGCGAGCTCACGCCCGCCCCCCTTCCCCAGGAGATCGTGCTGGTGGTGTTCTTTGGGACGGAGTACGTGGTCCGCCTCTGGTCTGCAGGCTGCCGCAGCAAGTACGTGGGCGTCTGGGGACGGCTGCGCTTCGCTAGGAAGCCCATTTCCGTCATCGGTGAGTCACGCCCCCCCCACAGACGCTTCACCCCCGAAATCACCCCAATTGTAGCTGCCACCAGCATCCTCCAAGGACCCAGGGCCCTGCTGCTCTGCCTGCCTGTGACAGGCAGGACGCCACCCAGCTGGGTGACCACCCGCCTGGTCCCTGCCAGGTGAGACTGCTCAGGAGTTGGCCTTTCGCAGCCTTCTGGGACCCTCCTTGGCACGGCTGGGCAGTGGGACAGTCACCATGGTGGCCTGAGGTCCAGGCTCCGTCCTCTCTGGCCCCTGCGGGCTCTGGCTGGGGCCAGGGTTCCCGTGGGTGCTCGGGGCCTCTCCAGCTCTGGCACTGCTGGCTCCCCACCCAGTTGCTCCTGGGTCCTGTCGTTGGGCCCCATCCCCTTCCCCGGGAGTGGGCCGTGGCCCGTGCCCCCTGGCTGCCACGGGTCACATGAGCCACCCCTCCTCCACAGACCTCATCGTGGTGGTGGCCTCCATGGTCGTCCTCTGTGTGGGCTCCAAGGGCCAGGTGTTCGCCACGTCCGCCATCAGGTACGCAAGCTTGGCCCCCCTGCTGCCTCGCCCCACAGGCTGGGAGGGAGCTCATGGGCCACCACACATCCCTCCTCCCAGGGAGGGCGCTGAGCAGAGGGCTGGAGCGGGCAGTCCTCGAGACCTCAGGCAGCCCCGGGTGCAAGACCCACACCAGAGCTCCTGGCTTCTGGGACTCGGGTGTGACCTGACTGCTGCTCATCTATAAACTGGGGTGACCCTAGGCCTCCCCAGAAGGCAGTCTGGGGACCAGAGGAATTTGGAAATGTCAGATGATCCCAGGCGTGACCCTATGGCGAGTGGGTGGACAGAGCCAGTTTTGAGGGGCTGCACTGGGAAGGGGATTCAGAGGCACCTGACCAGGGGTCTGCATGGAGGTGAGATGGTCCCAGCCAGCACAGAAGTGCACCTGTCTCACCTTCCCGTCCACTGTCCCCTGGGCCCAGGTGCCCCCGGGACAGCTGTGGTCCTCTCAGTCCTGCTGTCTCCTTCCCAGGGGTATCCGCTTCCTCCAGATCCTCCGGATGCTGCATGTGGATCGCCAGGGAGGCACCTGGCGGCTCCTGGGCTCTGTGGTCTTCATCCACCGCCAGGTGGGTGGTCCAAGGTGGGGTGCTGGGGAACGGCTGAGGGCGAGACAGAGGGCAGAACAGTCATTAGCAGGACGGCTTAACACACACGTGGCCCACCTGGGGCAAGGTRCAGGGTGTGAGTACTCTGGGCCCCAGTCGAGCAACCTAGGGCCAGGTAGGTGCCAGGGCACAGGGTGCAGGGATAAGGCCCAGAATCCCACCCCCAACCTGAGCCTGCTGGGGCACTCTGCCCACACTTATGTGCCAGCACCTTTAGCCTGCCAGGCCAGTGTGAAAATAAAGCCACCTTCCTTTAAGCTGGGGACCAAGGATGGTTAGGTAAACGGAAGAGAAAAGCAAAATGCAAAAAACCGTGGTCTCTGAGGCTCAGAAACCTAGATCCAGGCAACCACAGACAACCCTATGACAGGGGCTCCGGACCCGGCACCCTTTCCCATGGGCCTCCGATTGGCACGGGCCACACCTGCCCAGGCTCTGAGGGACAGGGGGTGCCCTTCATCTCACAGAAGTTCCACCCCACTGTGAGCAGTCACTGGCCAGCAGAGGCTGCCCAAGTTAGTCCCAGGCGCTAGCTGGAGTTGGCTCGCTCCTGGGTGGCAGAACCCAGGCCCGCCGTCTTGGAGCTGTGACCCATGGAGTTTCATCCCTGTGGGCGAATCACACTGCGTCCACGCGGCATGGCCTGGTAGATGCTGGACCTGCTGCCAAGGCAGGGCCTCGCTGCCTTTTATGTCGGCCTGAAGCCTTTTCACTGAGGGCGCCCCGTCCAGGGTGCTGCGAGCCGCGGGCTGACGCTGTCCCTTCTGCCGGCCTAGGAGCTGATAACCACCCTCTACATCGGCTTCCTGGGCCTCATCTTCTCCTCCTACTTCGTGTACCTGGCCGAGAAGGATGCAGTGAACGAGTCGGGTCGCATTGAGTTCGGCAGCTACGCGGACGCGCTGTGGTGGGGGGTGGTAAGTCAGGGCCTCCGGGGTGGGGTGTCCTGGCTGGGCCACTGGGGCCTGGGCCGAGGAGGTGCAGGACGTGGGCTCTACTTCCCCAAACCCCCTGCCTCGTTGGTAGGGGCTTCTCACCTGAGCAGAGCCCTGTGCCCAGGTTCACACTTGAAGCCAGCAGTGCAGGCCCCACGCTCAACACAGCATGTTCTGGGGTCTTCAAGTTCTTCAACTTTGAACTTGTGTTTTGAAGAAGTCTGAGGGGCCAGGCTGGGCCACCAGTGTCCCCCCAGGAGTTGGTGGCTGTCATATAGCCTGGGAGTGCTCCATCGTGGACTGGCTTCAGGGCTGCTCCTGCAGGGACGTGGTGCCCCCAGTAGCAGTGGCTCCGGCGGGAGTGCAGCTGTAACTCCACCCACCTCCGTGCCATCTCCCCTCAGCCAGAGGCCACCAGGCCTGGGGGATGCCTTCACACCGGGCAGCCCCGGGAGGAGGTGCAGAGCCTGGGCAGTTCTCAGGCCAGACTCAAGCCACGGCTCCCGAGCTCAGGCGTGCTTGGCCAGGGAGAGCAAGGCTGCTGATGGCCCTGGCTGGGACCCGGCAGCAGAGAGGAGAGAGGGCAGCCCACAGAGCTGGGCCGTGCCTTGGGGAGCAGCACAGGTTCTGGGGCACGGAGCGGGGCAGGCCACCGTGCCTGCCCAGGCCCGGGTGCCCAAGAGCTGTGTTCRGGAACCAAGGGCCTTGCTCACGGGCTCTCGGACTCCTGCCCTTCCCCCACCATAGGGGAGGCCACTGAGCTCACGGAGGGTATGGGCACAGGGTCCTATGTCCCCCATGAGGTGGCCACACAATAGGAGCTCCTGATGCTAGCCAAGTCAGTGTGTTTTCTAGAAGCTTCCAACATGCCAGGCAGCTCCAGGAAGTCCAGGACATGCTAAACGTGCTGACACAGCTCCCAAGCTGGGCAGGCCCAGATGCAGCCTCTGCCCGCCTCCTGGGGGCCCGTGTCCCTCGGCCCTGGTGTGGCAGGCCTGAGCAGGTTTGGGCAGGAGGGCTCAGCCTCCAGGAAGGGAGCCTGCCTGTTGGGGGGCCTGCATCCCTGGTGACATGGCAGCCCTGTGTAGGGGCACAGGCCGCCTGAGCCAGCATCCCCTGGTGGTTGATGGGCAGTGGAGGCCAGGGTGCAGCTGGAGCGAGTGGGCGACGGCCTGTGGGAAGGCTGGTGAAGGGTGCCCAGTCCTGGCGCTGCCCCGCCTGCCTTTCCAGCCGCCTGTTGGAGCTGCTCCCCGACCTGGCCCCCGGCCCCGGGCCCCCCGGCCCCCCGGCCCTCAGTGGAGCCGCGCTCCCACTCCCACACCTGTGCAAACATCCGCCCGCCGGCCGGGAACACGGCCCCTTTGTGCCCGGCTTGGCACCGGTGCCCCTGCCTAGCCGTCAGCTGCAGCCTGCGCCTCGGCCACCATGCACCCTGGCCTGGCCATTGTCCCTGTCAGGCCCTGCACCCTGGCTGCCCAGGGCCCCCCGCTGCCCTGCTTAGGGGCCAACAACTCCATTCACAGAGCGGCTGCCCCTGCAGCTGTCGGGGGGAGAGGCCCCGAGGCGGAGTTGGGTGGTGCTCCTGGCACTTCTCGGAGGGACAGAGCTGAGCGGTGCAGGCCGGGGGGCCAGGGGGCCGGGGGGCTGGGGGCCRAGTCCCAAGCACTTGTCTCCTCTCGGGGAGTGAAGCAGCCCCCCAGGGCTCCCCATGGGGCAGATGGGGGACGGGTGGGCCAGGGAGAGGCACTGTATTGGGAGCTACCACAGGGCAGCGGGGGCTTTCAGGAGGCCCGGCCTTTCTGACCCCTGCTGCGTGCCGTGGGCCTCGCCTGGACTCAGCCCCCCACATACCCACAGCCCAGAAGAGACTTAAAGCAGGGACCCTAAGATAGGCATCTGGGCGCAGAGTCCACCTGGACAGGTGTGCACCTCCCTTGCCCAGTGGACTGGAGACGGGGTGCCTCGGTGTCCAGCCCATGCTTGTGGGGAGCGTGAATCCACAGGTTGATCTGCCCATCTCGTGGCTCCCCGGGCAGCGGCGGGTTTGCTTCCAACACCAGGCAGTTTCCACAGTAGACGTCTGTGGCAGTGCCAGGGCCAGGCGTCCTGAGGCAGGATGGCAGTGTGCTCCTCGGGGCTCAGGGCTCCTCCTCACCTCTTGCTGCTGGGGACTCGGGTCCTGACCCCCCCMCACACACACACACATCACCCTTTGCACGTCTCTCCTGTCTTAGGAGGAGGCTTCATTGGATTTAGAGCCCACCCACACAATCCTCATCCTCGTCCTGTCTTTGAAGACCCTATTTCCAGATAAGATCGCAGTCTGAGGGCTGGTGGGTGTGAACTGGGGGAACAGGGTTCGGCCCAAGACCCCGGTTGGGGTCAACGCGGTGGGGAGGCTTTCCCCTAGCCGGCTCAGTTTCCACGGCTGCCAAGCAGGGCGGGGGCTCCATGCCCAAGAGTCCCCTCCCGTCCCCTCTCTGGGGAGGCCTCCTGGGCCCCGAGTGTGGCGCCCGAGCTCAGCTGCGAGGTGTCTGGGGAGACTTTCAGACTTCTTCTTTGCCCTTGGAACAAAACGCGTTTGTTTGTGTTGAAGTTTGAGTGCAGGCCCAGCAGCCCTTGCCCACACGGGCCCCTCTGTGCAGCGCCTGGGGGTCTCCRGGAACGGGCGGCTGCGGGGCTCTGTTTACCCCGTGTGTCTAAATTTAGAGTCTTGAGTGGAAAGGCCGGAACCCGCCCCTGCATCCAGCCTCTAACAGCCCGACAGCCCTTCGCCTTCACCTGGGGGTTCCGGGAAGCGCCGCCTCCTGGGCTGTGCTGTGTCCTGGCAGAGAGAGCCGAGAGGCCAGGGCTGAGGGGCCTGGGCGAGCAGGCCCTGTGGGACTGTGGGGGTCAGCAGCACCTTTGATGCTGGAGAAGCCACGCTGTGGGACGCGGGGACAGCATGCAGCCCCCATCCAGACAGGGTTCCTCCTGCCTGAGCTCCACGCGGAGCCTGCAGTGCGAGGCAGTGAGGGCCGGGTCCACAGGACTCCGCCAGAGAGCTCCTTCCAGATCCAGCTGCGTTGTCACATGAACGGGAGTCCATGAGACAGGTCCCGCTTCCTGCACCTGCCCACTGGCCAGCACCTGGGGGTTTTATCACCTGGACCCAGCAGGCCCATGAGGATGGTGCACAGGACTAACTTCCTCTTGGGGAAGGGACTTCAGCTCAGGCCAGAGAGGAAAGCCCCTGGAAGGCTCATCAGCAGAGCTCCCACCTACTCTCCAGCCCACAGACACAGTCACAGACAGACAGCTTCAGAAGCACAAGGAACGGACGCGGGGGGGAGAGCAGCCAGGCAGGGGTAGAGCCCCAAACGGGGCTGTCACAGCCCACATTCACCACGTCCCAGCTGGGTGGCCCTGCGCAGGTCACCCAACCTCTCTGAGCCTATCTGTGGCACGAGAATAAGGTCTGGACCTAACTGTCGGAGTTAAACCAGTGATACACAGAGAGCCTGGGCACCCGGTGTCCCCTGTGGTGTCTGGGCTGGTCCCCATCCTCCATCCTCCCTAAGAGGCTGTTTCAGAAAGGACAGAATGGAGGCTGCCGTTTCCAGGTTCCCAGGCAGCCAGGGGGACCAGGAGTTGTGGGCTCCCCAGGTGCAGGAGGGAGGAGGGCAGCAGGCTCTGCTACTCAGGAGGGTGCTTGGTGTCACAGCCTGGTGCTGGCATGGGTGTCTGTGAGCCGAGCAGCAGTGGCCTGCGTGCCCGGGGCCCAGGGGGTACTAGCAAGGAGCGACAGCGGCTGAGTCCTGTCTCCCTGGGTCTGCTGGCCCAGGGGTCATGCCGATCTGCCTTCCTGACGGCTGGCCACTGGGGACAAGTCATAGGCACAAGGACCATAAAACAGCTCATTCCTGAGCTGCTTGCGTCTGTGAATTCAGGAAAACAAACATCTCTGCAGGGAAGGCAGCTTCCTGGGGAGAGCCGGGGGGGCCGCGGCGCTCTGGGAGCAGACGGCGGCTGGGCATTGTGGCCATCAGCAAGTGCCTTCCACGGCGGGGCCCACCCGCCAACGTCCTGCTCTCCCTGTCCTCCTCCCAGCCCTGCCTCCTTCTAGCCGCCCAGCCCCAGCCGTGGGACCCCGTTAGATCCAGGAAGTGAGGGCGCGGCCTCGGAGCCCCGCGGAGGCAGCAAGCAGGCGGTGGCCCAGCCCTGCCCAGCGGACGCGGTCTAGCCTTGACTTACACCTTTTAAATGAATCAAAATATTTTGCCAAAAATACCACGAGTAACTTAAAGATATTTAAATGATGCAAGACTGTTATTAACACGATGTTTACTAGTATGCACAGGTCGCTGGTGCCCCCCAACACTGTGCCAAGGTAGCTGTGCCCGCGGGTCTGTGCCCTGCAGGGCAGCTGCTCTCAGACTGTCTCGGGACTCCTTCACACTCCAACAGAGCACTGCGTGTAGTGGGTTGTAGCTATGGGTCCTTAAGGAAAACAAGAAAAACTTCAGCACCCCGATGCTGCTGGAGTTAATAGGCCCATTATGTTTCTGTACAAAAAATGATTTTATGAGAAGTTACTATATTTTCAAAAAAAAAAAAAAAAGTCACTGAAGGAAAAAAGTGCATTTCTACCCGTCGCCATGTGGCCTGGCTCTGGGAGAAGGTTAGTCCCCCGTGGTGCTGCCCACACACCACAGCATCTGCCTTGTGCCCAGGATGGCGAGCAGGTGAGCCTGACAGGTGGCATCTCACCATGTGGGACTGGCCTGGGGTAGGTGAGCAGGACATAGGGTCCCAGCCTCACCCACTTATCACAGGGATGTGACCCGTCCTGACACGGCCCTCTTCCCTGCTTCTCCAGCCCACCCACCACGGCCCCCTCCCAGTCTCATCTTCTTGACCCCACGCAGGATGGGCATACCTGGGGCAGGGGACTTGGCTTTGCCCGGGATGGCTCCTGGAGGTGCCCTACAGAGCAGCGGCAGAGCCGAGGAGAGGGGCGATGGCTCAGGGGTTCTGAGGGGCAGAGAGGCTGCAGGTCAGTGACTGAGAGCAGCGGCTTCTGTCGAGGTTGTCAGAGACATAGAAGTCTCCCTGGTACCCGTGCCCCTGGTACTCGTGCCCCTAGTACTCATGCCCCCGGCCTGCAGGGGCCGTCCAGGCTGGGTCGGGCCCTTCTGGCCARGTCTGGTGCCTTGGCAAGAACTTGGAAAGCATCTGGACTAGACAGAGGGGCAAGGCCTTGCCCAGCCCCTCCCCTGGCCTTCTGTACCAAGGTGTCTAGGGTGGGGCTGTGCCCTGGGCAGGGCAGGTGCTGTGTCTCAGCCATGAGCCAGCCTCACATGGGCGCAGGACACCCGCAGGGCTCTTGAGCCACCCGTGGCCTGGCTTCTGCGTTCGGGTAGCTGGGCCGTGCTTAGTGGAACGAGGGCAAGCACGTGTGCCGTGTGAGCAAGACGCCTGGGCCCACGCACACCCGTGTGCGGCACGCGGGGCATTCTTGTGTCTGTGGCACGTTTGTGAGCGCGTGCCCATGTGCACAGGCCCGGGGTCCATGCTGAGAGCCCACAGTGAAGGGCTGCCCATGCACTCTGCCCGGAAAGCTCCATGTGGGCAGCGGGCAGTGGTGGACAGAAGGACCTGGACTGGGCGAACGCGCAGTCTGGGTGCCAGTGCCCATGTGCTCTCCTCTGTTGAGTGTTCCAGCCCACCAAAGCCACAGTCCACCTGGCGCTTGGTGACATGCCGACGGGCCACACAACCCTCCTGTCGCTGGCCTCCCTCTGCTCCCCCCGACACAGTGTCTGTGTGCGTCCCTGCCCGGCTCTCCCCCGGGGGCCTGAGGGCCACAGTGGGCTGGCGGGGGCCACTGAAGTYGACACTCTCTCTCCAGGCCACCCTCAGCTGGCGTCTGTCGAGTGGTGCGGTGCCACTCACACTGGCATCCTGGGGCAGGGGGTCCAATGGGGATGCCGTATAATTCCCGGCTTGGAAGGTCTGCCTGGGCCAGCAGGGGTGGTTGTCACTTGTTCCCAGAGGGTAAGGGCTGGACTGTCCAGCCTGGGCAGGAGAGCATGTGCCTGCCAGATGAGTCCGGCCTTGCAGCACCTGGGCCGCCTCAGCAGGCTCCGGGCCCACCCTGGAGGGGTCTGGGGAGACTCAGGTGTGACCCAGCGGCCTGGGAGGGGCCAGCGTGGGCTCCTGCGTTCCCACAGGACAGCATGTTCAGCCTCGCCAGAGGCCCAGGAGCAAACCTCAGATGTCAGCAGGGGCCAACCTGGGCGGGGAGCAGCCCTCACTCCTCTTGTCCCACCACATGCCCTGGACAGAGGGTCCCCCACTGAGAAGAAGGCTCGAGCCTGTCCTGTTCTCAGAAAAGAGGAAAAATGAAACATCTGGAGCCCTGGGTGGCGGCAGGAAGTGGCGCGTCATCCCACCCAGCTCTCTGAGGATGGCTAGCCTTGGTGGGCGCCCCCGTCCCCCCTGGGGGCTGGTGCACAATGTTGGTGGCCGGGGGCTGGGGGCAGGTGGTGGGCCAGGGAGGCCAGGCCTCCCCTGGGTGGGCCTATGGCCACGTGCCCCACGCTGGTCACACCAAGTCCTTCTGGACGTCCCACTGGGCTGTGTGTGGTCTGGAGCTGTCAGGGCCTGGGGACACCAGCGCCATGCCACCCTTCTCCTGAGCTGTGGGGCGGCAAAAGATGGCCCTGCCCTGGGGCCGGAGTCTCCTGTCGGTCTCTGCTCATCAGGCAGAGGCCCTCCTGAGGCTCCAGGCCCACAGATGCTGACCGCTGCACGCCTCCTTGCAGGTCACAGTCACCACCATTGGCTACGGGGACAAGGTGCCCCAGACCTGGGTTGGGAAGACCATCGCCTCCTGCTTCTCCGTCTTCGCCATCTCCTTCTTCGCACTCCCAGCGGTAGGTGCCCCTGGGGGAAACGCRGTCCCTCCCTCCGCAGACCCACTCATAAAGGGGCTCACTCGGCCAGGACGGTGCATGCMTTCCGGAAGGTGCTGTCCTCCAACACCTGCCTCCCTGGGCCTAGGACATGGCCCTCCCCTTCCTGCAGCTTCCAGGGGTCCTCTGTCAYAGGGTGGGAGGTGGCCTGGCACAGCTCTGCATGCCAATGGTGGGGTACAGACGAGGAGGCCCCGGAGGTGCCAGGCCCCTGCCGAGGCAGAGCGCATGAGCCTCCAGGAGCACTGCGGCTGGGAGGACGGCGTCACCAGGGAGCCAGGGCAGAGCCTGGTGGCTCACGGGCTCACTGGGAGTGTGGCTGTGCACGCTCGTGCCCTGTGGGTGTGCGGGCAGGTGTGTAGGCAGTGAGCACTACACATGGAGTATGTACGCACTGCGTCCCCTGTGCGTCTGTTACATGTACGTCCTCCTTACAAGTGCACACGGCATCTGGTGCAGGCTGGTGTATCTGCATCGTATTCACACGGGCATGTTACGTGTGTGTGCACTGAGAATGCGTAACTCACATGCGATCACAGCGCATGCGTGTGAGTGCTGCTGCACGTGTTGGCATCCTACCTGCTGTGTGTGACTTGTGTCACTCACCCAGGCGAGGTGCGGCATCTGTATGTCCCTCTCCTGGTGAGAAGCAGCTGGCACCTCCCAGCCAGGGTGTGCCTTCTGACCCCAGCCCCTGGCCTGTGGGTGGTTCTTGCCTGGGTGTGTGCCGAGGGCTGGCCTCCTGGCTCCCCAAGACATCCCCAGGTTGGACGGAAGAAGTCCTGTGGAGGGGGCTCTGTCCTTGGCCAGCTGGGGCTGGGCTCCCTGTAGCACTGAGCAGGCCTGGCCCTCGGAGGGAGTACCCAGCACACTGGCCCTGCAGGGCATCCCTGAGTGCACGGTCCTGAGTGCCACCTGTCTTCCCTTCCAGGGCATCCTGGGCTCAGGGTTTGCCCTCAAAGTGCAGCAGAAGCAGAGGCAGAAGCACTTCAACCGGCAGATCCCAGCAGCAGCATCCCTCATCCAGGTGTGCACTGAACTCCGTGCCATGGCTGTATACGGTCACCTGCAGCCCCCATGCCCCCAGAATCGATTGCTCTTGGCCCCACGTGAACCCTTGGCTATGGACCAGCCCAGGGCACAGAGCCCCAGTGGGGAGGCATCTGCTCTCTGGGTCACAGGGGCCATGCGAGTGCAGGGCCTGTCTCCCTGCACAGCAGCTCCCACACAGGGCCACCCTGGGGGCAAGGGGACCAGCATGGCCACGGCCACTGAAAATCTGATGTGGTCAGTCTGTAGGTCCCCTCATCTCCCAGCTGGCCTTGGGCTCCCACTCCTCACCCCCCGTCCCAGGGAGGCGGCAAGGTGGGCCTCAGATGGCCACTCCCTGAGAGGACAGGGCCCAGTATCCCTTGGGGCTAGCACTTCCTGGTGAGGAAAGGGCCGGGGCTGAGGTGGCCGGGCGTCCTGTGGGACTGCCGGGCGAGCAGGCAGGGAAGGCAGGGAACAAGGAGGCACGGGGAGAGGTTGGACTCCACTGCGGTCAGCCCAGGCCCTCAGGAAAGCACCAGGGAACCACTGGCCCGTCTGGCACGGGCAGAGATCCCGCGCTCAGTGCGGTGGCTGTGGTGCAGCATGGGCCCTTCTGGGCACCCTGGGCTGAGAGCCCCCCAGGGGAGACCTGGGGGCTGACCGGCCCAGGCTGACTGAGGTGACCCCTGCAGGCCATTGTCTCCTGAGTTCTCTGCCCTGGCAGTCCCTGGGTGAGAGATGGGCATGGCCAGGGGCCCTGCGTGGCCTGGGACTCCATTTCATTCCTCTGAAGTCCTTCCAGAACCAGCCATCTGGGCCTGGACCTCGTGCCTCAACGGGAAGGAAACGGCAGCAGCCATAAGGCCTGGGGCCATGGCTGCGCTCCCCCCAGGCCTGGCTTTATGGCCCCGTGGTTTCTCCTTTCGGGAAGACCATAAATCAGGCCCATAAAACCCGCCTGGCCGGCGCGGGCAGAGCGCCCACAGCAGGGGGGTGCACTGGATTCCTGTCTGAGCAACGAGGCCTCTCCCCAGGAACTGTGTGTCCTGGGAACACGGGGCTGTGGTGAGAGGACGGTGGGGCCTGAGGTGGCAGGATCGTGAGTGTGGACGCCGCAGGGCAGGCAGGCAGGGGACAGGCAGGCGGCTTTGAGTGGGACATGTTGGCCTCGGAAGGGCCTTCCTTCCCTGTCCCTGGTCTCCAGGGGGTGTGCGGACTGCATAAGGTGCCTGTCAGGATGCTGCTGCTATCCCCCCACTTCCTCCTGGGAGCGCTGCTAGCTTGTCCCTCTTTCCCAAGCTCACAGGGTAGAAAATGCCAAGGCCACGTGACTGTCCCCACTAGAGGGTCTGGAGCCTACTCTCGTTCCATCCAAACCCCTGGGGCCGCAAGCCTCCCTAGGTCCCCTGCCCATGTCTCTGACTCTAGGTCATCCCCCTTGGGGCCAGCCAGGGGGGTCCCTCTAGAATATAGGCTAAGAGCCTCCTGATAGCTACCAGGTGGCGCTTGAGGGCCCCTGGAGGACTCCTGCTTCCTGGCCCCTCGGTCCCAAGGGCTCGGCTCCTCCACACCCCAGCCAGGTACCCACACGGACCCTAGGCACACCCCTTCCTCCCTGTGTGGACCCAGCTGTCCAGCCCTGTCCCTGCCCTGTGTGCCCAAGCTGTGCTTCTCAGTTTGCTGAGCTGAGCGGGGCTGCAGGAGGGGCTCGGGCCTCCCCGGCGTCGGAGCCGAGTGGCAGACAGTTGATGCCACTGGTCTGGCTAGCAAGAGCCGGGCCCTCTGGGCAGAAGACTGGGAGCTGGCAGTGGGCTTTCCTGCCACCCAGAGGAGGGGGCCAGACCCTGGGGCTGAGGGTAGGCCACCAGGTGGCTCAGCAGGTGACAGTCCTTCCCTCCTGCCTGGTTTCAGACTGCGTGGAGGTGCTACGCTGCCGAAAACCCCGACTCCTCCACCTGGAAGATCTACGTGCGGAAGCCCAGCCGGAGCCCTGCGCTGCTCTCGCCCAGCCCCAAGCCTAAGAAGTCCGCCATGGTAACCACCCTCACCGCTCTGGGGCAGAGGCTGCCTGTGAGACAGGGCAGCTGGGGCAGCTGAAGCCAGGGCTGCAGGGTTTGGGCTCAGTGCAGTCCACATCAGGGTGTCAGGACAATGCTGGGCCTGGGAGTACCTGTCCCATGCTGGGTCCCTGCCATCCTAATGTCCTGCCGCCTTGGGGCCATGCAGGAATGGCCACACCAAGGCTAAGAGGATGAGAGGTCCAGAAAGATTGCCCAGGAGCAGGACGGGCTGCATTCTGGTCACCTGACGGGCACGTGGGCACAGCAGGCAGGGGCGACRGAGGAAGTGCTCTGCCTCAGGAAGGCCCATGTCCACACCTCCTGAGGAGACCTGGCCTCCTGGCCACCTCTGCCCGAACATTCTGCCTGACTCCCACCGCTCCCCCCACTTCCTCCAGGGCCTCGGGGGCATCTCCCTGGGCTCGGCTGACGCGGCTCCTCACGGTTGCAACCTTGCACGTCCATGTCTGTCAGTGTCCTGCAGTGCAGGACCAGGTCCCCGTGGGCCCTGGCACCTAAAGCCTGCCCTATGAGCCTGCGGGACCCTGCAGGGCCAGGCTCTGGCTGCGGCAGGGGCTCTGGGGCCGCAGCGGGCCGGGTAGGGCCCAGGAACGGCCAATGTTCTGTACGGCTTGCAGGTCAAGAAAAAGAAGTTCAAAGTGGACAAGGATAACGGGGTCAACCCTGGAGAGAAGGTGCTCACGGTCCCCCACATCACCTGCGATCCCCCAGAGGAGCGGAGGCCAGACCACTTCTCTGTCGACGGCTACGACAGCTCTGGTAAGAGACCCACGGGTGGGGCAGGCCACCGTCGGCCTCGCCTTGGGGAGCTTCCCTGCCATCCTGCGCTCTACTGTCACGGCGTTTCTCGGGGGCCCAGGCACGAGAATGAGTCTTCTCCTTGGGCTGGGGTCTCCGCTGATGGAGGATGGACAGGGTGGAATATCTAGAGTTTCCCAGCCACCTTCCTCAGTTGTTCCCAAGGAAGGGGCTCTCCGTGTTCCGCTGGGAGGAAGCCCAGGCTGGGAACAGGCCGTCAGCCCCCCGGGCAGCGCTGGGAGGGGTGCGTCCCCCGTTCCCTCTGCCTGGCTCCCATCCAGGTGGCCTTCTGCCCACCAAGTGCTGTGCTTGAAACAGCCGGGGCCATGTCCAGGGCTTCACCCACTGACCCAGGAGCCCGCAGCTCAGGGGAAAGCATGGCGCCCTGTGGCATCAGGGTGGGCTCTGGTGAGACAGAGGCTCCTCCGGTGGCCCGGGAGCCCTGAGTTGGCTCCAAGGGATGGCAGACAGGTGCACGTCTGGGAATGGCAGAGGTTGGGGAGAGGTGTGCAGTGTCACCAGCAGAGGCCAAGTCCCTGCTAACACGGTGGGTCAGCTCAGCCCAGAGCCACTGGATTGGGGACCCTAAGCTAATGGCCGGTCCTCAGGGACTTGGAGCGGCCCTGCCCCGTGAGCTACCTGACTCAGAATCCTCACCCTGAGGCTCTCGGGAAGCCCTGGCAGAGGGGTGCCAACCCCCAGGGCGGGTGCTGTTCCTGGGCAAGGCTCCCAGTCCTGCTCTGCGGGGACAGCACAGGCAGCCATGCTGACTGCCACCACGAAGCTAACTCAGGACGTGGCCCTTGCCCACGGTGCTTGCAGGCACAGGCGTGGGCAGAAGTCAAAACGACACCAATCCCAGCTCACTCCAGTTAGAACAGCAACGATCAGGAACATGCACAGCAACGAGTGGTGGTGAGRTTGCGGGGAGAAGGACACCATTGTGAGGGACTGTGGTGGGGCAGCCACTCTGGAAAGCAGTGTAGAGAGGCCTCAGAAGACTAGGGATGCAACCACCACACGACCCACTACCTCACCCCTGGGTGCGTTCCCAGGAGATTCAAAATCCACATGGCACAGGGACCCAGCCGCAGCGATGTTTACAGCAGCACAGCCCGTAGCAGCTGCACTGTGGAACCAGCCCAGATGCCCACCGACAGGTGAATGAGTTAAGAAATCGTAGAGCTGTATATACTACACAGCCGTGAAAAGGAATGGAATCATGGCATTTGCCGGTAAATGGCTGGAAATGGAGAATATCGTGCTAAGTGAGATTAGCCAAGCCCAGAAACTCAAACGTTGAACGCTTTCTCTCATATGTGGAAGCAAGAGTAAAATAAAGGAGTGGGTGGGGGAGGACACACGGGGACCCAGGCCAGCTGCCACTTGCTTCCCTGCCTGCCCGTGGGCGGTGGCTGGTGGCTGGGGAGTGGGCCTGCCCTGGAGCACTCTGCAGGTGGAGGTGCTGGGCTTCCSGGGCGTGGCCAGGCGGGCCCTTCCCACCTCTGGTGACTGACAGCCTCCCTCCACACCAGTGGCTCCACGCCAGCACAGTGAGGTGCTGGGTCACAGTCACCTGTCCCGCCTGCAGGCGGTTTCAGTCTGATCCTCAAATCTGAGGTGCTGTCTTCACCAGGGGTGGGTGGGAGGTGGCAGCCCACCCGGCCCCATCTCTCCTGACTTCCCTGTGGCCACATCATGTGTCTTCCTCAGGTCGCCCACCCTCCCTCCAGCTCCCTGGGCATCAGCCCCTTCCGTCCAGTCCCCTACGTGTCCAGACTCTGTCCGTGGCTCTGCCATCTCAGTGACCACGCTCTCTTTTCTGCGCACCCTTGAGCGAGGGTGGAGTCTTCCTGACCTCGGCGCCTCCTGTGTCCCACGTTGGTCCTCTGAACAGGCGGACGCCTGGCCTCCGTGCCCTGCACAGGGCCCACCTGGGGGCCCTCCAGTCCGGCTCTGTGCCCTGCTTCCTGCCCTTGCTCTGGGGGCTCGCTCCCTTGTGAGCTGAAGTCCAGGTGGGAGCTCGGGCGGGCGGAGGCTCTGAGGGTGGCCTCCTTAGAGCAGCCGAGCCTGCGCTGCACAGTGGCCCGGGAATGCCTGAGTCCCTGGGGTCTCCATGGGGAGCCAGGCAGTGGAGGTGGAACCCCAGCTCTGGGGCAAGAAGCCAGGCTGCACATGTCCAGAGAGACCAAGGCAGGTGCACCCCACCCGGCTCTCTCCGCTGCGCGTGGACTCGTCTGCTGGCTTGTGTTTCCTGTCCGCTCTTGCCTGCTGGTCCCTGTGGCTTCGGCCTCTCCAGGGCCTACTTTCTCCAGCGTGGGCCTCAGGTATCAGTCCTTGCCTCTTCTCCCCGGGCCCTCAGTGTCGGCCTGTGGCTACTTGGGTGGGCACTCTCCGGAGCCTATGTCCCCACGGCAGGGGCTCTGGGCTTTTAGGGACCCTTGCCCTCAGCAGCCTCCGCACTGCGCTCGGCACGGCGCTGTCAGAGAGACTGCTGAGAGATTGGGCTTCAGGCAGGGTCTCATCCAGCAGCCGAAGGCCTCATCTTTGTGCCAGAGCTGTCTGGATGTGGGAGCCTGGTGCCACCTGGGCAGAGGGCTTGGTGCCACTCCCTGAGATCATCCCAGCCTCTAGGGAGGCCCAAGAGCCTGCATGTGTAATAGCCCCCAAGGCTCCTGTGCAGCAGGTGGCCTGTGGACTGGACTGGGGAGACCAGGGTGAGGTCAGGCCAGGGCTGGGAGCCCACGTAGGACTTTGGTGACTTCCCCGTCTTTCCACTGGTTTGCTGTCACTGGGAAGGGAGGAAAAGACACCTGTTTGGACAAGAGCTGGCCCCCGGCCCCTCCTGGCATCTGGCCCTCTGCTCTGGGGCGTCTATGATGTTATCCAGGGCTTGATTAAGAGCGTTTGGTGGTGACTCCTGACACGCRGCTCCTGACAGCCTCAGGGTCCTGGGGAAGGGGGCTTCAGGCCTCTCAGGCTGCCCCTCTGGGGGGTGGCCAGTAAAGAGGCTGCYGCACTCTGTCCCCTGGCTTCACTTCTCTCCTGGGTCTTGCCTGGTGATACTCTGTGTCATCCTCTTCCCACCTCCCATGTGCTCTGTCCAGACGACAAGCGTGTCCACCTCAGATGGAGGCAGAGGCAGGTGAGGGTCCTCCAGGGATGCCCTGACCCTCCTGGCTCCCACCCAGTGGTGCAGTGTAACCTGTGAGGACCTGGCTGCACCTCTCCCTCCCACGTGGCCCCACTGAGCATGCCCTGTGCCTACCCACGGCAGGCTCTCGACCTGGGCGGCCTGCCCGAAGGTCCTGCCCACTGCCCGTCTCCTGATGAAAGGTGCCTGCASTCAAGCTCTTGTTCTGGTTAGAAAAGCAGCATCCGTTCTTCATAGAGGCCGACTGGGGTTCAAGAACGCAAGGTTAGTTTGACATTCTTCTAAGACCAATGTGATGAGCCATATTTATGACGACTGAAAGCAGAACCAGCAACCACTCATTATGACCTGCTCTAGGTCACTGATCAAAAGCCACAGTCAACACACTTAGTGGAGAAATGCCACTGCCCCTCAGGATCAGGGGCACAACACGAACRTCCCCTCCTTCAGCTTCCTGTTAAACACTGAGCTGCAGATGGCTGTCTGTAGAATAAGGCAAGAGGCAGAAACTTCAGACATTGGGTTGAAAAAGACAAAGTGCAACTGCCTTTATTTGAAAATTTCATGGTTTGTGGAGAATCTGATGATACGCAAGACACCCCGGGACTGTGACGTGGATCAGACTGCACACGTCCACGCTCCTCTAAACCACAGCAGCACATGACCTTGAATTTGAGAATTGTGAACACCACTTACTGTAGCACTAAACATGTGGAACACTTAGAGATTAATCTGGCAAAGAATACAAAAGAGTCGTGCTCTGGAACCTACAAAACTGCTGAAGGAAACTAGTGAGAATCTGAATGAATGGAGAGAGACACCATGTCCACAGAGCACGAGGCGCAGGTCATCTCTAGGTTCAGAGGAACACCAGTCAAATCCCAGCCTGCAAGTGGCCAGAACACCCAAGGCACCGTTCAGATGACCACAGAGCTGGGAGACCAGCCTTGGTGGCAGGGCCTCAGCAGAACCGTCAGCTCATAGACCTGTGGAGCGGAGCAGATGGCCCAGTGGACCCGCATGGACAATCCAGGTGTGAAGGCAACTCGGGGAGAAAGGAAGGTCCTTTTAACATCTTGGAACAACTGAAAGCCACGTGCCAAGAAATGAACTTGGATCCACACTCTACACAATACACAAAACTTGTCGTACAACCAGATTCAAAGCCTAAAATTATAGCAGAAAACAGGATCCTTAAGGAGGATTTCTTAGGTATGACAGCAAAAAGCAGAGCCATCGTCAGCTCCAGCTGATCAACGGGACTCACCCAGTCTAAACCTCCTCTTCAGAAGGCCCTAGGAGGAGAACGGGGAGACAGACCAGAGGCTGAGAAGAGACACCGTGTCATCATCGGACAAGAGATTTGTATCCGGAAGGTAAAAAGGACTCTCAAAGCAGAATAATAACACAAAGAACAAATCACAAAAATGGACATTCACCAAATGAGACCCACGCGGAAGAACAGAAAGATGCCCACCGTCACCCACTGTAAGAGGAGCAACTTAGAACCMGTGAGCTACTGCCACGCAGTGGTGACGCTGGCCAGGACTTTGGGACCTGGGCCTCCTGGCAGTGCAGCCGCTCTGGCCAACAGGCAGGCAGCTCCTGGACCCACCTAGTTTTCATCTRCCGACTGTCCAGCCAGTCTGTCCCTCGGTAGCCACTTGACGGGGAGACACGAGGGCAGAGGAGCTCATCGGGGCTGGAGATGGCGTGAAAACTGGAAACAGCCCAGAAACCATGGGCCCCGAGGGGMCTCCTCTGGAACTCGTGGAACCCTGTTCAACACAGGAATGAGCTCTTAACA